TCAGGGCACGTGGTTTTGATCAGTAGCCACATCACAACCCCAAAAACATCTAGGCGAGCAAAAGCCAGCCAAGTATCCAAACTTTCGAAGAAAAAAACTTTAGCGAAGCTCTGTTTGACTTTCGTCGCAAGTCTTTGGAGGTTGTGTTGCGTTTGGCAGTCATGGAGGTACACGTGGACAGCAAACACCCATAAACTCAACGACCTAGCAGAAGTCCTGCATCCTTGTGAAATCGTTCTGTTTTTGGTTTTGTCCTGACAAAATCGAATTAAGAAAGACCCCCAAATCTACATAAGATTCAGTATAGGACTAGCATCGGCCAGATTTTGAGTTTTTGTATTTGTGGTTTGTTTATTTTTTTCCGAATGCCCGGCAGTGCCCGTGCGGATCCGGCCTTGACGAACCCTGAGATCCGATCCTGGCAGGGGAAACACCTTTTCGCTGTTCTGCAACCTCCCAAACCCCAGTGCGCGCAGTCCAAGACTTGTACTTGGAGAACTGTAGCACTGGAAACGTTTTTTCCGAATCCTTCCAAAACCCTTCCGGACATGGAGTCAAGCACTTTGCCATGGAGTTGGTACTAGATTTCCGGAGCTGACTTGAAAGCTCAACAACCATCCAAGATCGGAGTCGTGGACTAGTTTTATATTTTCGCATGTTTGGGGTTTTCCATTTTTCTACACGGTTCTAATGCTTGTCCTTGAGCTGCTCTAAAGGTTGAGGGCGTCCTGTTTTCTGTTCTACGCAGTGCCTTTTTTTCCTGACTTCGAGAAACCTTAATCCATGCGCGCCCTGCCCAGGGAACCAAGAGGCACGACAAAACTGACGGATGTGAGGCAGCAGCCCGCCGTGCCGACTACCAATGCTCCTGTCCAGATGCCAGGGCGCTCGACGTCTGCTAGTACAGGCAGCTGATCCAACACAGGCTGCGACACGGCGACACGTCTTGCACATCGAGCATGTCAAGCAGCAAAACAACCGCGCAACATCACTTTCAGGACCAAACGAGCTGTGAGTGAAGCTGGCGGCACGGCGTATAAGCTGTGGGGAGCTTGTGCAGAGTCACCCGCAATGCCACTTCAAGGCACGTGCTATCACGCACTGCAACGGGCTTTCTGGGCTTGCAGAAGGCAAGTTGACAGTGGACGGTCGTGGCGAGCAGTTTTGTGAAGCGATTCCGGCAGAAACGTGATACCGCGCACTCCAGCACGGGTGTTCAGGAACGAAGCCGTAACATGGAAGCAAAAAATTGGCAGACAAGCTGAGCTCCGTGGAGAACGTAGCACGCTTATTTGTGTTGAAGTTACCCCCTGGCACTCTGATCGAGCACAAGGACTCTACGTCCCCATGACGTGTCCAGGCATGCTCATGCCGGTCCAGCACGCCGCGTAGCATCGGATGCGCTTTAGTGTGGACATATGAAGATGGGGACCGTCACAAACAATTACGCCGTGGTGACGGTGTGTTTTGCTGCCAAAAGTTTGTCCTTAGCCAACACAACAGCCGCAAGGCTAGGGGCGCAGGGACTCCGGTACTTGGCTCGCAGATGCACTGCCCAACCCGTGACGCCAGCGATCGTGAGCGCGAGAACGAAGAGAACGTCGCAGCTTTTTAAAATTTGGTCTGGCTGTCAAAAAATGGGTGGCTTCAACCTCAAGAGGCAGCTGGCCAAGGTTCACGCTGGTTATGCGCCAGGAATTGCCGCAGCGCGCCGCAAAGTTTCCCCGAGCGCTCGTCTACTCAGCGACTACTTCTACTACAAGGCAGCTCGCAAGACTTTGCCGCGGCTACGGAATGCGGTCGGAATAAGACTCACCCTCATGTGTCTGATATCTACGAATCTACGAGCTCTGAGACTTGACCAGGCCGGTCTAGTGTTCCGTTTAGTGGGGTAAAGCTTCCAGGGCTTCCACAGGATCGTAAAATATCAGAATGCACAGGCGCCTGCTAACTTTGCAGCTTGCAGACGTGGCACGGTAACCGATTTCGCAGAGTTGCCAACAAAAGCGCCTCCATATCTCCAGAACGAGTTCTGCGCGGAGCGTTTCAGTGGCTGACGCTCGGCACGTTTTCAAAACTGTCACGACTCCTCCTCATCATGGCGATAAGATGTGGCATCCAAGCTTCTGGGCAAGCATCTTTGGCACCTCTGCTGGCAGCAGTGCCGGGAGCAATCCCTTGGAAGCGCGACATGCGCCCTGGGAAGCCAAGCTGCAAAGCCGAAATATGTATGAAGGCAAGACAGCAGGCGCTGTGAAAGAAGCTGGTTCTATAGAGCGCAATCCTGTCAAAATAATTCACAGGAACACCGGAGTGAACACGGACCAGGACCAGGACACAACATCCTGGGCTTTCGCCTCGCCGTCAGCTCCAGTGGACAAGACGCGGCCGCAACAGACATGTGTAACCACCATGTCTCGTTCACTGGCTTCACGCTGCTTTCAAAGTTGCTCGCTGCTGGCAGTGTTCCCATGTTACTGCTGGCTCGTATTCGCAAAATGTCGCGTGGAATTTGGCGCAAATGCTCTGCAAGGAGAGCAAAAAGCTGCACGATCTCCTGGTCCACGCAGGCATCCTGTTCCCCAGTGGTGCGACGCACCCCTTGAACCGCGTTGCGCTCACAAAATATTTTGTAAATCAATCCGTCGTCTGCGAGGGCCACTGGGTTAACGCATGCTGGCCGCGTGGGCACGTCGGACATCACGTGTACAAAGTTTGCACATGCGTGCACCGCATTGTCCATGTGGAGTGCTGGCACATTGCGTACGTTTCAGCGCTAGGTGGTCTCTGCCTGCCAGAGGCACAGAAGCGCGGCCACAAGAGAAAGTACGTATGAATCAACAAGAACTTCCACGCAAAGATCAACGTCACAGTTTGAACTGCATGCCAGAGGTACTGCACCATGGCCGCAAGAGAAACCATGCCAAGATCAAGTGCAGCCACGCTTTGGTGAACATACGTGTGACATGCCAATGCAAAAGTCTGTGGCACTGTGGCTTGTCAGATGAATGCAGGTTTGTCTGGCAAAGGTGTAGCTCGGTCCTGGCTTTCGTCAAGGCATTTGATAAAAAGATTCTGGACATTTGCACGCAAAGCCTCTCACCAGACTCGGGCCTCCGCACCGTCAATACTAACGAACTGCTCAACGCAGACCGCAAATTGTGGAACGAGATCTCCAGCTTGCACAGCGAAGGGTGGACCCTAGACGAAGCACTGCACGAGATGACAAGCATTAGAGCAGATATCCACGCACTGCTCCAGCCCCGTGCTCGTCCACCAACCCAAAAAGGCAATGGCAAAGGGGGCAAAGGTGGCAAAGGTCCAGGTAAAAAGGTGGCAAGGTCCAGACACGCCTTAAGGACGACAAGCAAGTCGCTGCACTGACAGAAACCATGAAGAACCTGCAACTCAAGCACGGCAATAAAACACTCTGCCTTCGTTTCAACCGCACCGAGTGCAACGACAGGAACTGCAAGTTTGCACACCTCTCATTTTAACCTCATATATTCAGTGGTTCCATGGTCCTCTGGTCTCTTGGTCCCCGAACATTATGCCAAATCTTGCAACCTATCCGCTTTAAAAGTTCTGAGGGTGAGATTTGGGGAGACTTGGTGAGAAATCTTCCTGGAACACTGCTTGCCATTTGAGATTCAAGATTTGGGGGGCTTGATTCTCTTAGGGGACACCCCTTGCGATTTAAGATTTTGGGAGACAGTTCTGTGAAAAAAATGTTGGGCGGGATTTGCGGACTTGATTCTCTGAAAATCAAATTCCCAAATCTCAAATCTTAAGGGCTGTCCCTGTAAGATTTTTCAGACAAAGAGTCACCAAATCTCACTGCAGCATACCACTTTCCACCATATTACTGTCCAGAACTTGTCGAAACCTCCAGGCGTCCCCTTCAGCTTGTCTCGTCCCAGAATAGTCGCCCACAGCGGCTGGTAGCACTTGCCCATGGAGTCAATGGCTTTGCCTGACCAAAGGATTCCAACTTGTGCCATGACCACTGCTACAATTCACAAGACCATAATCAGGTGACTGACGGATCTGACGGCTATCCCTGGTCAGGGGACCACTGCCCGCCAGAAGATTAGGGCCGTTATTACCGTGGCTCGCGCAAATATTACTGGCTCCAGCAAAAACACCTGGATCACCAGTGGAATACTGCGTTCCTTCAGCCGAAACGTTAACGCTCAAATGAGCACCTTGATCTCCACTTGACCTCATCGCTGTAGAGCTATAGGTGTGTAAAAGGTCTCCGCCAGAGGCCCTCGAAAAGAACTGACCACGAGGGTCTATTACTGAAGGTTGGCCTGCACGACCTTGCACAACCTGCTCTTCACCACTTCTTTTCATTCCTGAGAAGCGCAGTGGTGGCTGTTTGGGCTCATAACCTGCCGGTTGCTGAACTATGGCAAGGCGCACGAGACGTTGTCCTTTTTATAACACGCCAAAAAGCAAGCAAAGAACAAAAAAAGTCATGTGACTCGGTAACTACTCACTACAATTTTCAAGAAAAACGATGCATGACTGCTATGACTCTGTACATGGTTCTATACATGTTGAACGCCTAACTGAGAGGCTATGAGAGGCTTAAATGGCCGCGGGTCGTGCACGCAGACATGCCCTTGTACTGCAGCAGTTGGGATAAAATACAAAATTAAAACAAAATTCGTGCGAAACCTCCAAATGACAATGAGCGACAGGGGGAGAATAACAAAATATACCCCCAGAATAAAACTGAATACGCATCCCCTTGTAAACAAACAATGTACTGCCAGAAACGTCTTGTTCTTGTCTGGTCTACGTACCGTGCGTCAGAGCTCATGAGAGCAGCTTTGACGAGCCCTGTTGGCCGTTTTCCGTTCATGGAGCTTCCAGTTGCATGTGTGGCTGTGGATGTGCGCGCTTGCTTAGAGGGTTCACACTGCCATGCAGCCTGCAGACATTACAGTTTGACATTGTCTTCAAGCTTTTTTGCTGCCAAGCATCCTGCAAAGATTAGCTTCCAAATTTGCCGTGGAATTTATCTCACTCCTGTGTCCATTGCTATGCCCATTAGGAGGCGCAGAGTGCGCGTGTGTGGACATCTGAATGCAAGGTTTCTAATTTACTGTTTCCAATACTTGCAAGAGGTAAGTTTGTGATTCCTGGACCTGCGGGTACCTGGAAGGGGTGTGTTTTCAGGCTTTTGCAATAGGTTATCAAACAGGCAGGCGCAATGGTGTCAAAACATGTCGGTGCAGACATACCTCACAACCAATATTGTCAATTTCAGTTTCCATTTTAGTCAACTTCACCACTCAACGGTGAGTAGGCAGCACCAGCAAGCAGGAGCCTCAAAGGACTCAGTCGACCACAAAGCAAGGCCTCAAGGCTTCCAAGCTTGATATTTGAGATGTTCGTACTATGCTGCCTTTCCTGCCCTTGTACATGCATGTACAGGCTGAAGATTTCAGCTGAAGGATTTTCCTGCGGAGACAACATCAAACAATCAACCTTACTGATAGCATTTCGGGCAGCGAGAACGCTGTAATGCCGTGTGTGACAGCAAGATCAAACTTGCCAGCCTTACCTACATGGTAACATGTTGCCGGGGGAAATGGATTCTAGAAATCCCTTCCCTATGTCAACAACACCTCCTATAATAGCAGGAAATATTGCAAACACACAAATCCTCAAAAACACAGATTCTGGAATACTGCTTACCAATTTGTAGAAGTGGCCAACCTAGTTTTCAGGCTCGGGCTAAGTCTAAAGTTTGCAAAGGCTGCTGCTGCCTTAACAGTGTCTCTTATGGCCGCGATGAAAGCGTTTTTTATCAGCTTGCTTCCCGAAGCATCGAGATTCCTGAGTCTCTCCGAGAAACATTGACGGCACGGTATGCTGGTTGCATGTCTAAATTGTTTAAGCAGTGGCAGTTTTCCAGGATAACGCTTCCGTCACACAATTCATTGAAAAGAGGTAGGAGTAAAATTGGAGCGCATGCAGCTCAAGCCCTCGTGGAGTATTTCGGACAACCCAAATGGCATTTAACTCACTGTAAACAAGACGCAACCTCTTGGGTTGAGCTGACCATTGACCTCATTTCTCAATATGGCTGTGTGGGCGGCTTTCTTGACGAAAGCTGCAACATGAAGAAACTTTCAGGAAACTTTCGTGCTGCGGTCGTTAAATTGTTCAAAGAAAACCCTATTCCCATACAGCGATTCAGCAGCACGAAACGTACGGCAGCTTTTTCGGCCGCAAAGGCATCCGGAGTAGGGATTGCCAAGCAATGGCACAATCCGGACTTCTTGCTAGCAACGCTGTTTAAGCTTCCGCAATCCCTACTTCAACAGGGTTCTTACAACCCAAAGACTTCCGGGTGTATGTCAATGTGGTCCCCCGTGTTCCCTTTCTCTTTGGCGCAACGTTGAGGAGATTTAGGTGGGTTCTGTTGACTCATTTTGCCACTCGCTGTGAGATGCTTGGCTCGCCGCCGGCTTGAATGTTTGTATCCTACTTTCGAGCGTCGAATTGCTTCAGCTCGGTTGTGTTGTGCCCAATTCGTCCGCAACTGTCCCGTGGGCTGAGAGTGACATGTCCAAAAAAGTAGAAGGGGCCAATTACCCACCCCCACAATGAATGAAAGAAGCATAGGTTGTTCTTCTTTTCATCGAAGTTTTTTATTGGTTTAGAAAGGAAATTGATACAGGAATCTCAAGGCAATCGAATTCTTCAGTTAGGCATCCCTGAATTTCCTAGATTTTAATTGATGTTATAAGATTGTGTTATACAGGCATTTCCTTTAAAACAAGCTCTGTCAATCAAATTTCACAAATCAACCAAATAATCAGAAAGTCAAGCCACACCAAAAAACACGTTTCATGTTTCAGCTGATAAGGATATCGGACTCTGACAAGACTTGGGCCTTCTCGAAGCCATTCAAGACATGATCCCACTTCAAAAAAACCACGATATTTCAGGCCGGATGGTGTTCATCAGTGTGGGGGGGGGAAGGGTCGCATTCGGAGCGTCTCGTTGTCCAGCACTGTAGACGGTGTAAAACTCAAATCCTGTTCGCCGAAAATCGAGCTCCCGCCCAGGGCATCCTTTGCACACAGGCTTGGGCAGGTATCCCGTTTGGATCCATTTGGTGCTCGTTGCGATGTGCAGAAATGTCCTTGTGGTCTTACAGTGTTTGGGTCCTGCATAGTGCGCGGCCACTGCTATCTATAGGGATGAGAAGGCCGGCTCAGAACCAACCTGGCATGATGGGTCGACAGGGCACAAGAATGCTGCTGCAAAGGCAGCACTACAAAAGGTTACGCATTAGCTGTCGGGATACCCCTCCCTGCACGTTGACGCTCCCACTTTGTCAGCCTCGAGGCAGCTCTTAGAAGTTGGCTCGCAATCTCAAGCTTCATTTAAAAGTTCCACACGCATGGGTAACCAACATGGGTGCTTCTGCACATCCGCGAGGCTGTTCACTCTTTCATGCCCACCTCGGTTTGGACCCACCACTAGCACCAGCACCACGACTATATCATCGAGACGCAACGATGACAAGAGGACCACCTTTGTTTGGATTTTGTGACATCCTCAAACTATGGGTATGAGCAAGCTTTCCAGCACTAACATAAGCTGTGACCGCATCATGACGCAGGCAGCGACACCTTCTGTCCTCAACCCAAATCTCCACCTTGCACATTCTTCTATTCCGGGTCTTTTTTGCTGCGAAATCTGCATAGGAGGCCGGCCATCCAATGATCGTGACTGGAACTCCATCGGCGCAGGACACCGCTAGTCGCTGTTTCGAAGCTGTCGAAAATTTCCACCTCAAATAAGCCCGCTGAAATGAACATGCACAACCCAAACCTATGCTTCATGCGTGCCAGCTTGTTGACAGCATGATCCAGTATCCATGATCGAAACTCCTGAACTGCTGCCAGCAATGAGAGGACCAGCGTGTCCAAGCAAACAAATCAAAAGCGTCCTTGATCATGGGGGCAGCTTTGGCGTACGAAATCTGCTGGCCTGCACTTTGGTAATTGTACCGGTCTGATAAGTAACGACCACTGCTGCAATCACACAGCCTTTGCTTGCTAAGGATGCTAAGGCGAGGGCCGTTACTTCGGGTGCTGTTCTGCAGCTGCGAGCTGGTTGGGATCTTTTTATTGTGATCCTGGCAGGTTGTTAGCAACAGGGTTCCCCTAAACTCCACTCATGGCGGCTGGGCCAAATAGTCACACAAGGTCCCGTAGCGGCCAAGAACCTGCGGAATGGTTGGTCCCGATGAGTGGGGGGGGGGGTCTTTCATTGTGCGAAGTTGCACTGTTTAAAATATTTTCTGAAAGTAAGATTAAAAACTGATTTGCTTTCCTAATCCAAGCTGCTCTTACTAGAATGTTGAATTAGGATGTTTGCCTCAAGAATCTTAAGCTTCAGGGATTCAGTTTTAAGGCCAGGTCCAAACTACAAATTTCTTGTTGAACCGCTTATTCGAGGAGGCCAGGCAATCAATTTTGAAGGGTCCTCAATAATAAGAATATTTGGGGGGCCCTCAATTGTCCAAAATTCTCGGGCCCCTAGGGATCGCAGACAGCAAGAGCCTTTCCTCTGAAGTTGAGTTCAATTTGGAACAGCTGAGCTCTGCAGCGCTCCTCCTCTTGAATTTGATGGAAAACAGATTCAGAGCTCAGGACTTTACTTCCGAGCTGAGGATACCCTCCTCCTGTTGAATTTAATTTAGAACTACTCAAAGCACATTTCGAGCTCAGGACACCCTCCTAACTCCTTACCGAGTCTGAGCTCCGGAAACCCTCCTCCTATTGAATTTAATGCTGGGATCCAGATTCGTTTGGGGGAGGGACCCCTCCCCTATTACATTGCTGTGGGGCTACTAACCAGAAACGCACATTAAGCGGCGACATTTGGTTTGCGCTGACGCTGACATTGCGGAGGTTGAAGCAAGGGTTAAGGCCGCATTTAAGATTCGCCTCGTTGGCAGAAGCATCGGGCGGGTCTACGATATGAAGGCGACCTGGCACGGGTCCCCTTGGCTCAGTCATTTTCTGCGCAGAGTGCAAGCCAGCACCTAGCGAGTGTTCCTCTGCTGTTGGCAGAGCCTGCCAGGAAGATCCAGGAAGTCAGGATCTCAGAGACCTAGGAACTGCAAGCGGCCTCATCTGGAGGAGCTTGTCGTCTCCCTCGCACACACACCACAGCGTTGCTAAGCATGGATGGGAGTGACGAAGCCCCCGTCTCCACGAGTCGTTGTTCCGCAGCAGCGCTCGATCAATTTCATTGCGCCAATGCCTCAAAGTATGAGACACCATGGTGCGCCCTACGTACAGCATGTGCAGCCGACGCAGGGATTGCAAGTGTAGGATCTGCACGCATCATCGCACTCAAAACCGAGCTTCACCTTACGGTCTGCAGGATTCTGCAGGGGACCAATTAAAGCAAGCACCCGCCCGTACCAGGCTTGCTGCCTACAATATGCAAAGGACGGGGCAATATTATCGTTGTTCTGCATCATTTGTCCGACTGCTTCCTCTGTCGGCCTCCCGAGGTCAAAGAAATTCATGTCCACAAGGCCTCTGTGCATGTCTTGCATCACCACGCTTTCGCGTCGTCTGTCACTAGCCTATCTCTAGCGCATCCGCCATCACCGGAGGCTAAGACAGTCACGGCTGCAACATGCTGCAACGATGGCTTAATGCTTAACCGGTGGCAGAGCGACGCCTAGCGAAACATATGCACATACATGCGCGGTATTGGTGTTCCCTTGCCTCAATCAAACTAGCAGCCAGATGAGCTTAGGGTTGTTGCGGATTATCGTGTATTGCTATAGCGTCCGTGCGCCATGCGTAACCGGAGAAAAACCTCCAACCCCCGGCGCTAGAAATGTGTCCGTAGTCAGCCCCATATCTTGATCTCAACATGATGGGACTTCACATGCTGAGCGCGCTCTTACTTACAAGCATGGCTGCATATGAGAGCAAGACTCGCTGCCTTCCGAAGAACTGCCCCATTTGCTTTTGATGGGAAAACCGCAGGCATTCGATCTTGCTGCTGTAATTGTCCTCAGGCGCGATGAAAAAAACCCGCATGCTCCTAAGATAAGGTCAATTCACCTTGATGGCTAAAGCGAGCTCACGGACCGCATTGGAGTCCAGCCAATTGCTCCTGGCATGGAAGATTCAAGGGGCTTGGTGTCAAGCAGAGAAAACAAACTGGAGAAGGCGTGCTCGAGGTTCAAGGTCTTCAGCGATGAGTTGGACCGCAAGGCGCTGGCAAGCTGAACTCCTGATGCCTCATTGGGCGGCATCCACAATCATAGTCAGCCAGCAACTGAACTCACAAAGTTCTCTGATCCAGCCTGACACAAGCGCCTAAGGCATCTTAGGGACTTGGCAACGAGGCTTCCACGGTTTGCGGCAGCTAGCAAAGAAAATCTTTCCAACACATTCCCTGTGCTGTGTGTGGGCTGCCCTCGCTCTGAGCGTTTGTTTCAGCACTCTGTCTCACCTGACAGCTTGTGGAGACATGTTCTTACGGCTGGGGGAGGCTGGCAACCATTCTCATGATCGAGCATGACTGCGCGCTCCTACTCCTGGCTTCCTCTACTTGGCTTGTCGCTCTTGACTTTCTGTGTCCGCGCGCCCAAAAAGCAGTCGCCGGCAAAAGTAGCAAAGACGCAGGGAGAGTTGAGGCAACCAAAGATGGACAGCGTAAACGAACTACAGGTTGAAGGCAGGCCCATCTTCGTGCAACCCTCCCCTCCACCCAAGCTTTCACCACATGCTCTCCCATCCTCCCTTCTGGCAAGCGGCCGTCTGGAAGCTTCGACTGGACAACCCTGAAGCCAAAGACTGAGGACCACTGCTTCAAAAGCGGACTCAGCAATTGAAGCGCCAGCACACCTCCAGCGTCGCTCCATCAAGCCACCCCCTATGCATGCTGCATCATGCTGCAGTTTGCAAAGCAACCAAATGCTCGTAGCCGTGAAATTGACAAGGCGCTATCAACTATCAGCGCTTCCCATCTTGCGTGGTACCAGGGTACCAAGCTTTTCAAAGCATCCCCCTCATGTACCTGTAGCGAGTAATTTGAACATGGCCAAACTCCCAAGTGGTGGTTTCATGAAACGCCTCGGACGCCTCCTGGGCAGGTCAAGAAAACTGCAAGGGCATGCAAGGGCTATTTGAGTTTCCTACAGCTGCACAGCGGGACAGCAACAGTCAGTGAAATACCAAGGAGATCTGGGTGGATGCATGACGATGTTTGACATGCAGCCTCCGCACGTCAGACATGTGCCTGAAGAAGGTGCGCTAGGAAAACGTCATGACAAACATCAAGCACAAAATCAAAAGAGACATGCAGCAGCGCAAGGCTCATTTCACACAACCCCCAAAACAAAAAGACTCTCGGCCAAGATACTTTGCAAATCTTTGCAGCCTCTCGCACACACCCCTGCAAATCCTACAGTCAACAAACGAAACGACACAATGCATCCCACACCATAGGATCGGGGTGCAGCCGAACTTCATGACCTTGTGAGCCGGACCTGTTATTTTGAAGGGGAGGGACGGTACTGCTCCGCATTTGCATTGCTCCACGTTACTCAGCTCTCCTGCATCGTCAGCCCTTGGTTTTAGTGTTTTTGAGGTCCCCATTTAGCGGTGTTTGTTGAAACTGCTTTGAGCTACAAGTGCTGGATTGCCTGAAGAGGGCTTTCTTGCCCAACTTCTTGGAGACTGGTGGCCTTCTGCTTGTGGAAGCGTAGCTCTTCCTCTCTGCTGCCTGACAAGTTAAGAAACTTGCCACGGGGCAGCTCACCGGTTTTCAGGTTCTCTGGCTTTGCCTGTACACTTTGGACCATTTGCTAACACTCCTGACCATGAGACCAGGCTCATGCAACAAACTCTGGTTGGCGCTGGCAACATGCAACGAATACGACCAATACAACGAATGCTTGCTCCTCCTTCCCTCATCCCCCATTCGCCAGTGTCAACGTCAAGTGCTGGTCCTTCAGCAAATTGGAGTTTGAAAGCGCCAACTTCTCGAGGTGCGTGTTCCTCGAGCTAGTTTGCAGCATTGCAAGAGTCAAATGCACATCATGGAATCATGGATTGAGTTTGCTTTGTGCCAGCCTTGCCATGGCCTCCATCAGCTTGGGAGCAATTCGTCTTTCGACGTGTGGTGGTGGCATGTGCCTCCAAGCTCTGCAACAGAAAAAATGTGTCAGCAAAAGCATGCCGACTCCTACCCACTTCTGACAAGGCTCATGTTGCTAAAGTTGAGATCCGTCAGGGAAGGGTCGTCCAGCCAGGCTCGGTGGACCTTTACATTTCGAGCACATGCCTGCCATGGCAGAGGCTGACACATTTTGGCATTGAAAGCGTCGCTTGGACGGACACCATCCACACCATCCAGTCACCATAAGCCCTGGCAACACACCATGCGCAATGCTCCCCCTACGCACATCTACAAATGCCACCTTGTCTTGCAGGGCTCAGGCAACATGTCGCTAATCTCACGAACCTTTGACCAACGACAACACCAGTGAAGTCCACTGATCGCACACAGCTGGTGCACGGCTGGCTCTGCGCTCAGCACAGAACGGACTCCACACGAGTAGCAAAGTCCTGCAAAATTTAGATGCTCAACCACTGCCACGTTACCCCTAGGCCCTAAGCTATACATGATGCCGCGCCTCGTTGATGGACATGGCAACGTCCTCGCATTGCTCATCATCTGGAACATCGTTCACCTGCAAGTACAAGCTGAAGAATCGGGCGCCGAGAGTAGCAGGGGTCAAAAAATCGCAAGAATTGCCTTGAGCAAAACCTCTGCCACCGTGGCCTCAAGCGGCGCTTGCTGCTTTGCAATCTTACAACATAAAGTTCATGGATCGCAGCGGAGCAACCGGCAACCCATTTGTACCGTGATTCTTCCAAATACTTTGTGCTTTGCTGTTACCTCCGCCGGAGTTAACACACATCACCCGGTGAGAATACACATCATCTACTGCGGACGCTGGCATTGGGAAGATTTCGCATCAGCGGGACATTTACACATCATCAGAAAATGGTAATCCCCGTGTAGACGCTGGTTCCAGGGCAACCCGACGGAAGGATGGATTTTCACGTTCTGCTGCAGACGCTGGGGTTTCAGAAGAAAATCTCAAGATTTAAGTCGCAAATTTCGTACGATTCCCCAGGTAGACGCTGGTTTCACACAGGACCCAACATGGGATGATGAGATGCTGCCATTTCCGGATGAATGCATTGCGGACCAAATAGGCCGCTCGAAACGGTTTTCCAACAATCCACGTAAGAAATTGTGGCCTTCTTTGAATTGCAAAGAACTGCATGGAGGTGACCATGTCTCCTGGCTCGTATTCTCGGGAGTGAGACACGTCATGCAACATACGCGATGCCATACCGTCATGCCACATCATGAGCTCATTCAAGTGCTACCACCAAGA